CAGGCCCGCACTTGGCTCCAGAACCCTTCTCCACAGAGACTCCAGGGAGCCACTATCAATTAGCTGGAGTTGGCACATGAGCTGAAGCCTGTGTGCCAGTTCTGAGCTGAGATCTGGAGGCGGCATGAGTCAGAGGGCGAAGCGGGAGAACAGGCAGAAAAAGGAGTGCCAGGCGCGGAGGCAACGGCCGCGGAAACTTGGGGTGAGGTGGGGAAGTGTGGAGGGATTGGGGTGGTGGGCTAGGCTGCCAGGCTGGGGACTGGGAGAGGCCTAGAAAGGCAGAGAAAGTGTGAGGTGACAGAGTGGGAAGGAGAAGGAGACTTGCTGGTATCTAGGGGAGAGTGACAAGTGGCCTCAACTAGGGCCACTCACGGATGCAGATGGGGGGAAATGCATGGATTCAAGGAATAATCGAGAGTAAAATGGGGGGCCAACTGTGGATTAAGTAAGAGAAAGAGAGGGGAGCCCTCGGAGAGAAGTCCCAGGCTTCGGCTGGGCAGCGGGAGAGGGAGGCTCTGCCCTCAGGCAGCGCGTGGCTCTGTGGGCCCACCCCCCAAAAAACTATTTAGTGTCCACGACTTCTAATTGCAGCAGTGACATTCCTTTGCCTAAGTCTCTGTGGCTTCTAAAGGACTCTGGTCCTAGCCCCTCTCTCTACAAGAAGGTCAAGACTCCCAAAAGGAGCAGCCTGCAGTCAGTAACTGAGAAGAGCCGGAGTGTACATTCCTCTGCCCTCACCTCCTGGGGGTAACTGCCGGCTTCCCCAGCAGGACTCGGGTCACACTGCTGCAGTGGGGCTGGCTGGCTGCTGCCGCTGCTGCTCCCACCCCCCACATACACTCTTTTGTGGTACTGGGAATTGAACCCAGGGATGCTCTACCATTGAGCTATATCCCAACCCTTTTTCACTTTTTATTTTGAGACAGGGCCTTGCTAAGTTGCTGAGGCTGGCCTTGAACTTGCCATCCTCCTGTCTCAGCCTCCTGAGTCACTGGGATTATAGGCATGGGACACCCCACTGGATGGGAGCTGGCTTCTTACAGCTTCATTTACTGCGTGCCTCTCCAGCCCTGTCTCTCTCACACGATCCTCTGCCATGATTTCCCAGAATCACCTCCTAAGTGGATTCCTTGCACCAGGTCTCAGATCTGATTCTGAGAAAACCCTTAAACTAAGGCAGTCAGTCAACGGGAGCATCTCAGGCTGGAGCAGGTGCTGTACCCAGGGGCCTTTCTCAGGGGCTTGAACTCTACCCCTGCCCTTCATATGAGCAAGATGGGCCTGTCTGCAGTGCGGAAGCTCGGTTGGCTGGTTGGCTGGTTGTCCCTCCACCCTTCACATACAGAATCCCAACTTTTGACAAGGCAGAAAGGGGCTCAGGAAGAAGAGGCCTTTCCCCAGCCCGAGGATAAGCCATAACTAGTCTGACGTAGGAGGGTCTGCAGAAGGGAAAGGTGGAGGGGACTTGGGTCCTCGGTGGCATCGTCACGCCACCAAACCATCCAGGAAGCATCTACTTCAGAAATCTTCGCAGAGGGGATTGCTAAATGAAAGAGCTGAGCCTGACTGTTAAAGACAAATGCCTGGCTTTGAATCCTGGCTCGGCCACTTACTCACTGTGTGACCTTGGGCCAGTCACCCTTTCCACATCCTCATGTCTAGGACGGGGATTAACAAACAGCCCCACCACCATCAGGCTGTCGTGAGACTTAACTGTCACTCTATGTGGCTGTATGGCACAGTGCCAGCACTTGCTGTTCTCTTCAAGCATCACCTGTGGCCACTAATGCAACGAAGCCAGGTGTCACCCTGATGCTCACACAAACCAGCGGGGAGACTTGTTAAAGTTCAGATTATGACCCAGTGGCCCCCGGCTGGAGCATGAGATTCTGCATTTCTAACAAGCGCCCAGGAGATGAGATGCTGCGGAAGTACAGAGGTCACCTTGACCAGCAAGGTCAGGAGCCACCGTCCACTGGCATTATGTAACGAGGAGCCCAAGGCACCCTTACTGATAGAGGGCCCCAACACAGGTGTGCCCTTTCCCCGCCCTGAGATCTGGTCAGGTCTTCCACACCTGGTCTTGGCAGCTCTCACCACTGTCAGCTACTTGGTCAGCACCCTGCGAAGGAAATCCGTGGAGGGCCGGGCCTCTGCGGCGCCCGCCCAGTTGCCTGGTGCACAGCAGGCGCTTAATGGAATTTGTTGCAAATTCACATGGGAGCGCCTTGTGCCCCCTTGCAGGAATACACACACCCAGTGGGCAGCAGCTCAGGCAGGCCCGGCGCCCGGGGCTGCAGCCTGGTGGGGCTGCCTCCCCACCGGCCTCGGCTGGGCTGGCAGAAGCCAGGGGTGGGAAGAGGGCAGGACAGTCACACCCCTTCTTGATTCAGAGCCTGACATCTGGGTCCAAACAATGCCCCTAACACCTGCAGAACAAGGAGAGGGCTGGCTATGGCTCATGTCACCCTGTCCCTTCTATGTCTCTCCCTCAGGCAGGTGTGAGTGAGGTGGCAACCTTAAGCTAGTCTCCACTTAGACTCAGTCTCTCTCAGGAGGCAAGACTGTCCCCACTTCTGAACCCAGCTTCCTCGGACCCCCGGATCCTGCTCAGTTGGAATCAAACCACACACCCCAAACCTTTAATAGTCAGTCACCACAGCCAACCTCTCCCTGTGTTTACGCTGTGCTAAGCACTATATTTGGGGTGCTCATGGTATTTGTTAGAATGTAATTGACCCCAAGCAGCAAAATACCCACGAGCGGCTTAATTAACAACAAACTTAATTAACAACAAAATACTAACAGTGCATGATTCCAGTGCTCGCCACGTGATGTTTGGTGTCCTAGGTGTTTCCTATGTATTAGCTCATTTAATTCTGCAACTGGAGAAACTGGGCTTAGAGAGGTAAGGGACCTTTCCCAAAGCCACATGGCTACTGAGGAGCAGGAACAAGTCACAAGCCAGGGATGTCTGCCAGCTGAGTTCTGGCTTTGAGCCCATGACATAGAAGGGACAGGGCAGCTTTGAACCTGTCTGTGAAGGGACCTGCAGGTCCCTGCAAGCACATTTCAGCAAATGTCACCAACAGCCACCCTCCAGGGCCTTGTCACAGGCAGCCACCACCTCCTTAGGACCTGCTTCCTGTGGGTGAGTCATGTGACCCCCAGCCTTCCTTTCCTCTTCTGTAAAGTGGGAATACGCTTCTCCTCACCTGCTGCAGCCACAGGGCCCCCCTGGCCTCCCCTCCCCAGGTCCTCCTGACCCGTGTGAGGCCAACAAGGTGTTGCCCGGCTTCCCTGAAGCTTCAAGAAGCCCATGGGTGTGCCTAAGGCCTGCCGAGGTCTGGGGCAGAGCCAGGACTGTGGCCTGAGCCTCCTGGACCCCTGAGACTCCCGTCAGTCAGCGGGGACCCCCGTCCCCCAGGTGCCTGGCTCCTCCCCCCAGCACGGACGCCTGCCAGGTTTCGCAGGTTAAACACACGCCAGCTGCTTCCTCCTCCTCCTCCTTCCGCCCGTCCTCCTCCTCTTCCTGCCCACCGGAAAGCTCCGCTCGGAGGTGGGTGGACCAGCCGCATCTGCCAAGGCAGGGCCATTCACAGGACCTGAGATGCCCCGCGCAGGAGGGGCCAGGCACCAGGGTGTTGGCTGAGGGCTGTAGCCAGAGGTGGAGGGCAGTCACCGGGGGCTATCGGGAGCCTGCCCACCCTGCGCTGGCTGGTGTCTGCTCTCAGACAAGCCGCCGGGCCAGGGCTGTCCAGCAGGACTTTCTGTGATGATGGAACTATTCCGTCTCCGCACCGCCCAGTACAGTGGTCATGAGCCACACTTCGCTGCTGAGCACTAGTGCGACAGAGGAACAGAATAATACATCTTCCTTAATTTTAATTAACTTACATTTAAATAGCCATGTGTATCTAATGACATCTGTACAGGATAATACAGACCTTAACTTTTCCAAGCCTCAGTCTCCTCAAGTACATAGCATGGGTCATGACACCCCAGGCCCCCTCCCTGACTCAGAGGACTCTAAAGCAATCTGCTGTTGTGGAATAAGCCCCCACTGGGAGTCAGGACCCCTGTGTTCCAGACCTACGTTAGCATGCTGTGTGACCCAAGGCCATCTCCTGAACCTCTCTGAGTGCTTTAGTCATCTATACAATATGGAAGTTGCTTTGGTCTTTGCCAGGTATCCATGGGTTGACTTTTGGGGATCTGAGAGCCCTTTGCCATTAGAAGAAGAGTGTGTCTGTGTAACTGTGTGAGTGTATCCATGCATGTGTTTACTGGGGGGAAAGCAAGATGAATCAAGATGAATTCTTCCAGAGAGCTTTTAAAGACGGAGCTCCTAGGAGCTCTTCACAGAGTTTCTCATTCAATGACTCAAGAAGCGGGACCCTGCCATCTGCATTTGTGACAAGTTCCCCAGTGACTCCAGTGTGCAGCCCAGGAGGGGAACGCTGACCAGGTGCCAGGCAGCACCAGGTCTTGGATCTGACATGCATGAGACGCCTTTGACACGTTTAAAATCCAACTAGGATTTAAGACAACGGAACACAACAATGACGATGCCCTCTCTGCTCCCGCCTTTGCTCAGCGACACCCACACGGGCACAGACGCGCCAAGCTGCCCTGTGCTCTTCAGAGGTACAACCCAGGACTCCTTGGATCGTGAGTGTCTGACTCCTAAGAACCCCTGTGGCTGGTGCCATCACCCCACCCTACAGATGAGGCAGCTGTTGCTCAGGGATGTGACCTCCCCAAGGTCACGCCGCTGCAAGGTCGTGGAGCCGGCCACCAGGAACCAGAGCCTGCGCCCTGGGAGCTGCACGGCTTGCTGCCTACCTTCCCAAGATGGGCACGCCCCGGAGCCCAGAGCCCCTGCCAGCCTGAACTGACCCCGGCCTCCTGGTCAGTCCCCTGGGCACTGCTCAGCCTGTCCTTCCCCCACCGAGAAGACCAAGAGCCATGTGGCTGTGGCAGGCACGGCCCACACTCACTTGCCCTCCGAGCCGTAGCTGTTCATGCTGTCCTCGATGGACTCGTGGCTGGCCTGGCGCAGGGTCCGGCTGGGCATCTCCACTGCCAGGCCTGTCTCCGTGCTCCTCTGGATGGCCCCCTTCAGCCTCCGGCTGTCTCCTTTCCGCAGAGAGGCCAGGACGGGGTGGAGAGAGAGAGAGAGAGGCAGTTAGCTGGTTAGCGTTTCAGCAGCTGGCTGCGGCCCTGCTTTCGCCCCCAACCCAGCCCGATCTCCTGCTTACCCAGGCCTCGCCTGCCCCCACCCTCCCCGGTGTGTTGGGGGGCTACCTGCTCTTTGATCTGGAGAATCCTCCACCATGGACTCTCTCCCTGTGGAACATTCTCCATCGTCGGCTCCCCGTCTTCAACTGCTAGTTTTTAAGCACTTACTATGCGTCGCACTCTGCCAGCGGCTCTGTGCGGTTCAGACCAGCATGACTGCCATTGTGGGTGGCATGCTGCTTTGCTGTGGGTGCTGTTCTGTGCACTGTGGAATTTCTAGAAGCTTTCCTGGCTCTCCCTAGTACATGCTAGTGGCGCCCCCAGTCCAGAAGTGTCAACCAAGAACATCTGCAGACCCTGCCAAATATCCCATGTGGGGCAAAAGTCACCCCCAACCAAGGACCGATGATTGAAACCACTGGCTCTGAAACTAAATGGCATGGGTTCAAATCCTGAGTGTCCTTCTCACTGGCTGTTAGACTTTGGGCAAATATTCAGCCTCTCTGTGCCTCCATTTCCTCACCTGTAAAATGGGAGAGCAACAGGGTCATCATGAGGATGAAGACTGTGAGCTTGGTCCTACTACCTCCTCCCCCTGTGATCAAACTCCATCTGACCAAAGGCCTTTCTGGACCACCACTGGCCACTCCGAAACAGCAGCCCTGGTCCCTGCCCGCCCCTCTCTGCCCTAACCCCCTGCTTGGTTTTCAGCCTAGCACTTACCACCCCGCCAGCTGCTGGCCAGTGTCCTCTGTGAAGAAGGTAAACCTGCCCCCACCCCAGGACATGGCACCTCGCTCACAGTTGGAAGCCTGTGCCAAGAAGAGGGCGTGGCCTGTTGTAGGTGCTCGTTAATAAGTGCTAAATGAACCTACACCCCCCTGGGGGCAACCTGGGTCCCTCTGCCGTCCCTGAGGTGGTGGATGCTACTTTCCTTCCACTTGAGTGCCCAGGTCGAGAGTACGAGGTCAGGGACTTGTCCTCACCCGTCCTCACCCCTATAGCCGGTAAGGTGGGACCATCAGAATGCACCCAAGAGTCTTCCTCCCGCTCCTGGGTCCACTTTACCGTCCTATCTGCCCCAAGGGGACAGTGGCTCTACACCTCCCTGTTCCTGCCGGGACAGCACACCTCTCACCGGCCTCCTCCGGCCTCTCTCCGCTCCAGTGTTTCCCAGAGGGGTGCCCACGGGATTCTGACTCCCACACGTGGTCATGTTGTTCAGACACACACACACACACACACACACAGGAATATACATGCAAAGACAGTGTCGAGGCATGTCTGAGTGTGCGTGTCTGTGTGTCTCCACGGGTCTGTCTGCCATTCTGTGTACATGTGTGCCTGTGTGTGCCCCACCCCCACACACACTCACACACACACACTCACACACACACTCACACACACACACACACACACACTCACACACACACACACACAGGCACTTGCATTAGATGTCTTCGCCCACCTACTGAAGAAACACACAGAGACTGGCCCTTGGCGTCTGTGTCACCTGGTGTCTCTGAACACGTGGGGAGGTGGGTGCTGTCTGTTCCCCTCCATTCCCATTGGTTCTCTCCTGAACTTGCAGCTGCAGCCACCCCCACCCCACCCCCATTACTGTTTCTGTGCTCCTCTGTACAGCAGGTACACACTCTCACACACACACTCACACACACACACACACACACACACACATGGAAACAGACTGGCAGGCACACGGTGCTGTCCACATGTGCACACACACCAGTCACGTGGGCAGGACAAACGCCCCCCACTGGGCCTTCAGACCCGCCCTGGGTGGAGCCCCCCACCATCTCCACCCTCTAGTGCTGACAGCTCTCCTCTCCGGGAAGAGGGTGGCGCCAAGCTTGATGGGCACTGAATCCCCATCCCTGCGGCCCCACTGGAGAGCGCCTCACATCTGCGGTGTCCTGGGGCCTGGTGGCAGTTCACACGGCCCCAGGCCCCACGCAGCCCTGGCTCAGCCCACAGGCAGCCTGGCGTGGCCATCAGCGGCCCAGGCAGAGGCAGCACGCCAGCCAGCACCACTCGTGGTGGAGGTGGAAAGAGGGGCGTTGCCCCGGTGCCTGGCAGAGCAGGTGCTAATCGGGGTAGTGCAGCGCTGCCAAGACAGACTCGCTGACATTCCCCACATCCGCCCTGGCCAGCTGTCCTGCTGATGCCCTCCTGCGACCTTCCGACCCGGGGACCCCCCTAACCAATCACACCAACGGCACTCACCTAACTTAGGCAACCTTCTGTTGGTCGTTTCTTTAAAACATTTCTCTCTTTAATGTTTTTTTGTGGTTGTAGGTGGAGAGAATGCCTGGATTTTATTTGTTCATTTACTTTTACGTGGTGCTGAGGATGGAACCCTGTGCCTCAGGCATGCTAGGCAAGCGTCTGCCACTGAGCCCCACCCAGCTCTGTGGGTCACCCTGTGTGATGGTCCCATGCTTCCCCACCCCTGCCCCCTAACCTACCCGTGGGGGCACAGTCCTGCTCCCTCTTGGCTGGAAGGTGTGGCCAGCTCTTCTCCCTCCCAGACTTCCCCCGCCCTTAGGCTTTCCCCCCCCCCCCCCACCGGCCCTGCCTCCCTGAGGGGCCTTCCTGTCTCCTGGTGTGGCTGACCTGCTGTCCATCAGTCCTTGCCCCACTCCGCCCAGGCCCAACTTGACCTCCTCCTCCTGGCTTGCTCCCCCCTGCTCTGGGCTCTCTGCTTCCTCCTCCAGCCTCTGGAGGCTCCACCTCCCGCCAGCCGGCTGCGTCAGGGACTTGGCAGCCCACCTCAGCATCCATGTGCTGTCTCGGGTCAGTCCCACACACCTCGGCCGCTGCCTTCTTTCTGTCCTGCCCTGCCGGACAGGAATCTCATCACAGGGTCTGCCCGGGGAAATGTCACCTAACACAGGCCGGAACCCCCAGGAGTTGACATTCAAAACTCTTGGCACAGGTGGGTCCCAGTGTGGCAGCAGAACCCTCCCCCTCCACAGACAGATGAACGTGACGCAAGGGCGGGCATGTTTTCCAGAGACCGCTAAGGGGGTAAGCAAGAGGGGATGTCACACACCCTGATCACCACACACCGCCGCCACCACCACCGTAGGGGCTGGGGGTGTGAGTCCTGTAAACTCCGGGAGTGAGGCTGCCTGATGTCGGTTGGGCTAGTAGGTGCAGCCAGGGTGACAAGGCTCCTGCTCCTGAGCTCACCTTCAGAGGGGAGGCAGCGACCGGCAAGGATCCTGCTGATTGGTCACAGGTGTGTCGAGAGCCTGGCAGACCTAGTGCAGAAGGTAATGACAGCACGTCGGGGCAGCGGGGAGGGGGACTAACGGCCACGGATGACTTCATCCTTTGACCCAGAGTCTCTCCAGACCCCTCCGCCTTTGACATCCCTGACAGTGGGCACCTCTGCCTCCCCTGCCCGCTGCGTCCCCACACAGCAGGTGCTGGCCAGGCCGTCCCTGGGTCCCCTCTCTGGAACCCACTGGGTGCTTTCATTCCTCTCAGCAACCTCAGGACTGCCCTATGCCCCAGGCTGTCACCCTTACCCACCAGAGAGCAGCCTGCACCCACCACCAGCCCACTCCCCAGTCAGCTTCTGATTACGTTCCCATCTTCCCGCCACCAGACTCAACCTCCCAGGAACACGGCGGCTCTTTTTCCTCTCTCATCGGGTGCCGGGCCTGACGAAGCCTGGGCCACCAATACTCCCAGACCTCACACCCTCCCCGTCCGTCCGTCCTCACCGCCAAGCAGCTCCTGCCTCAGGCTTCAACCAACCGTTCCCAGCAGCCTCCCCTGGCCAGCCACAGCCGTTCACAGATTAGATCTCCACTCAGACCAAGGCCGCCACTCTCACTAGTTCCTCTACACAAACAGCCACAAGAGTACACAGCACTCGGCACCAAGGGGCTCCCCGCAGCATCGTCTACACCAGGGAAATGCTGGAATCGACCGCCGTGGACACGGGACCCGTTAACTACACGACATCGCCACCGTGAAACGCTCCGTCACAGCCACACGGAACGACTCCCCCAGCACCCTGGCAGTTCAAAAAAAGCAGGTTGCAGGGCAGTATGTGAAACATGGTGCCATTTCTGTAGAGCTATAGATAGCTCTGTGTGTGTATGTGTGTGTGTGTGTGTGTGTGTGTGTGTGTGTGTGTAGAGAGGCAGAGAGAGAGCACACAAGCTTTATCTTAGACACAGAAAAATCCAGGAGTATATGAGCAGAGCGGCTCGTGGTGAGTGACTGCAGGGAGACCATTGGAGGAGGTGTGCAGAGGTCATTTTGTGACTGAAGATCTAAGTATACAGAAGAGTGCCCAAACCTTCAGTGCAGAGCTCCATGCATCTACACAAACCAAACCCACTGCACCAGCACACGCCATGCAGAAACAGCATTCCTAGGATTCCAAGGACCCCGTGCACCCGTCTCCCATTACCAACTGGCTCCAAGGGTCACCCTGTCTCCCATCACCAACTGGCTCCAAGGGTCACCCTGTCTCCCATCACCAACTGGCTCCAAGGGTCGTCACTGCTGGTCTCTGACGCCATTCTGCAATGCCTGGTTTTGAACGCTATATAAAGAGGGTGGCCTTCTTTTTATTGGCCTGGTTTCTTCTGGTTCATGTCCCACGTGAGGTGCGTTTGCATTGCCTGAGTCGCCAGGTGCTCGCCATCACTGCGCAGACGGACCTGGGTTTATCCACTGTCCGGCTGATGGGCTTTTGCATTTCTCCCCCTCCAGTTTAGGACAAGGAACAATGCTGCTATGGCTGTTTTCATGCACATCTTTTGGGGAACATCCTCACCTGTGTCTCCTGGAAATCTACCTGGGAGAGGAACTGCTGGGTCTGAGGGAGGCATTTGTTCAGCTCTAGGTGAAGCTGC